AAAACCTGTGTTAATTTTTTAATTGCTGTGTAACAAATTACCACATATTTAGCAGCTTAAAACAACACTCATTGATTAGCTCAGAATCCTATAAGTCAAAGTTCACTATGGTGTGGCTGGGCTCTCTGCTCATGTCACAAGGCTGAAATCAAGGTGTTGACAAAACTGAGTTCTCATCTGTAAGCTTTAGAGAAAAATCTGCTCATTCTTGCTTTTGGCAGAATTCAGCTCCTTATGGTTATAGAATTACAGGATAGGTGATAGGTTCTCACTTCCTCTCTGGCTGTCAGCCACGGTCACCCTCAGCCCCTAGAAGCCCCTCCTCCCATTTCTTGCCATGTGATCTCCTCAATCTTTACGCCACAAATGTGAGTTATGTTCTTGTCGTGTTTCAAATCTCTGACTACCCCTCCTGTGAGCAGCCAAAGAAAACTCTTTGCTTTTAAAGGACTCATGAGGAGGTCCAGCCCACCCAGGTAATCTCCCTCTTTCCCAAGGTGGTCTGTGTCGTACAATATAACCTAATCCATGGCATTTACCGCCCTGGCGGTTATACAGGGCATGCATCTCCCAGGAGCAGGAAATCTCGGGGCCCATCTTAGAAGCCCGCCTATTACAGGCGTTATTCATTAGCCCCTTTATATATCAATAATCCCAAAGAAGCAGAGTTTAAAGTCTGGGAATTTAGTTTTTTATCATTCTCCTGTGTTGACCTTCGCCCCTCTCTTTCCCCCACTTTTAGCTTTTTAGATCAGTATATTATTAGATTAAGAAATACTGGAGAAGAGATTTTTATGATTTTATAATGAACTGCTCTCATAAGAACCCAGAGATTCCCACCCTGAGAGAATGGTTTTGATCTGAATTGGAAGGTGCTGTGGATTCAAGCACAGAGCTTCTTGAATCTTCTATGAAGCAGCACTGCATTCTGTTTATGATAGCCTGCCCTCTTTTGTTTTAGACTCCTCCTCTTCCCTGGTTATCTGTCTGCAGGACGAATATAATTCTGAGTATTTGCCAGGTCACCTGAAGACAAGGGGGAGCACCCAAGTGCCAAGGTTCTACTGGAGCCTGGGTCTCTTGCTATTTATTGGTGCGATGTCACTTAAAACTAAGAGATCACAAAATGATAGGTCCCCTCCCCCCCGCCCCCAGAAACATCTCTGAGGTAAGGCTGAAGTCCACATGGTTGTGGAGTTTTTCTGACCTTCCTGATAATGCTCCCCATCCCTCAGTCATACAGTGTGGCGGGTTTCAATGCTGAGTTAGGAGTTGGCTAAATTTGGGGGACACTTGCGGTATGCCTGACAAAGGAAGGGACAAGTCTCTTTTTTAGGTGAGACTTGGTTGAAATCTTCATTTTGGGAGCAAGGCTGAAACTTCCCTTGCTTTGGATTCCATAAAACTTGGGCATCATGCAGCAACAAACTCCTAAAATGCTGTGATACAGAGCAATCTTTATGTTACCCAAGCCATCTAAAGAGCCACGTCTACTGAAAAGGTGATGCTGAGACCAATATCACACATCAAGTGTTTTAAGATTCATCTAGCACAGTAATTTTGTTTCTTACAATAGCTCCTAGGGATAGTTTATAGAAAGGCATCATCTTTTGATTTTATCAAGGCAATAATTTCAAAAGTGGAGAGAGGCTTCTGAAATATTACCATTATCTCCTAACAGCTTATAAATCAAAACTTTCCTGGAGTCTAGAATAAAACCATGAAAACTGTGAATATTATGTTCAACTAGAGTTTTAAAACTCAGAAAAGAGTGATCTAATAACTTAAAGGTAGATTTTGAAAGGAGATGGGCACCTACTAGGGTAAACTTTGACAATGAATACAAATCAAAATGTTATTCCAACAAAAATACAATATTATTCCAACAAAAAGACATTAGTATTCCATAAAAGACAAACACTGGGAAGAATAATTAGGACAAAGATATCTCTTGTTCATAAACTCTGCAGTGGGGTTTTACACATAGTTTCTCTATCTCAGTTGCTGATCTCTTAAAAAAAGAGAAAGCCAGGCAGGTGAAATAGGCCCAGCTAACACAACAACCAGTCTCATGACAGTGAAACTGCCTATGAGAGTTTTTCTGCCAAGCTTGTGTTAAAATTGAAGCACTAAAATTTGTCACCAACATATAATATAGCTAAAATAAATAGATTCTGGATTTTTGGTTAGTGTATATAAAGGTAGCCAGAACTCTGGTGAGTATGTCTGAGTTAAGATGGAAATCTCCTTTCCTACATTGAACACATATTTTGGACAAACTATAACACAACACTACATAAACACACACACACACACACACACACACACACACACACCAATGTCCCAGTGCTGAAAATAAATGGAACTCAAAATCAGAGCAGTGAGAGGAAGCCAAAGCCTAGGGACTCTTGGGGAAACGGGGGCCTGAGAACTTGGCATCAGGACTTTTAATATGAATTAGTTGTAGGACCTGTGCACACAGGAACTAGAACCAAGCTTACAAAGAGCAAGAAGTCATGCAGGGATCATCCATAAACAAAATGGGAACTAGAAACACTATGACCATCCCCCACGAAAGTGACAAGTGAAGTGAAGGGTCAACTGGAGAACCCAGGCTGGGGTTGTGCATCTGTGCTGAGACAGCACCCACTCCAGCTCCCAGTACAGGTCCCAAGTCTCAAGTTAATATACCAACTGGTCCCGGGCCAATGAAAGGCATGGGGCCCTGAGCAGAGGCGAACATAAAAGCTCTCTGTAGAGATGCTCTCACTGCCAGGTCACAGTTCCTAAAGGAACGCACAACTCAAAAAGGGAAAGCTTAATAACTTCAATTACTTGATCATTTTAAATTTCTGTGAAGCTACAGATGCCACAGAGAAAATTTAAAGGCAAGTGACCAATGGAAGAAAACATCTGGAACCCATATA